TTCACAAACAAAAGAAATGGAGGAAAAGAAGCGACTGGATATAGAGTTCAAAACCACGCTTATAAGGTTTTTCAAGAATTTCCTAGAAAAGGTCGATAAGACCTATGAGGATATGAAAAGGGATCAACTAGAATTAATAAGGGATCAACAAGAAATAATAAGGGTTCAACAAGAAATAAAGAATACATTGTCTGAAATAAAAAATATTATTCAGAGTCCTAAAAACAGAATGAAAGATCACAAGAATCAAATCAAAAGAAGACACTCCTCCGCAGAAGCAAGAAGATAAGAGAATCCAGAAAGTTGAAGATAATGTAAGAAACCTCTGGGACAACTTCAAGTGAACCAACATCAGAATTATGGGGTCCCAGAAGATGAGAGAAGAGCAAGATATCGAAAACATACTGAAAGAAATTGTGACAGAAAACTTCCCCCACCTGGGGAAAGAAATAGACTTACAAGTCCAGGAAGCGCACAGAATTCCAAACAAAAGGAATCCAAAGAGGACCACACCAAGACAAATCATAATTAAAATTCCAAGAGCAAAAGATAAAGAGAAAATATTAAAAGCAGCAAGAGCAAAGCAGGTAGTTACCTATAAAGGAACACCAGTACGATTGTCAGCTGATTTCTCAACAGAAATCATGCAGGCCAGATGGGAATGGCAGAAAATATTCAAGGTGATGAATAGCAAGAACCTACAGCCAAAAATAATCTACCCAGCAAAGCTATCACTCAGAATCGAAGGCTAGATAAAGTGCTTCACTAATTAAAAAAAGCTAAAGGAGTTCATCACTGCCAAACCAGAATTATATGAATTGCTGAAGGGGGTTCTTTTGGAAGAGAAAGTAAATAAAGATAAAAACTATGAACAACAAATACGTAACTATCAACAAATGAATCTAAAAACCAAGGGAATAAAAAAAAAGTCTGATGAACAATATTACCTGGTGAATATAATAGAATCAGAGGTATGAAAGGGGAGTGAACTGACGATTCTCCGGGAAAAGGGGAAAGGGGGATGTGGGAAGAGACTGAACATAAACTGTACACCTATGGATGAGGACAATGGGGGTTGGAGAAAGGGCAGAGGGTGGGGTGGGAACCTGGTGGAGGAGAGCAAGAGGGGGGTGGGGGGGGGGAATGAGGAACATTTGTAATAATATGAACAATAAAGATTTATTTAAAAAAAAAAAAAAAAAAGATGAGGAAAATATGCCATGCAAACCATAACCAAAAGAAAGCTGGTATGGCAATTTTTTTACCAAATATATTAAACTTTATATCCAAAAAAAATATTATGACAGTTAATAAAAACACTTAATAATAATTAAAGGATCAATTCACAGAAAATAAAAGTCTGAAATTTACATTCACCAAATACAGAAGTGCATATAAACCCACTGTCAGAGACTTTTCTCATTAGCTGATAGAAGCAGATTCTAGAAAAAATAAATCTATATTAATTTAGAAAATATTAACAACACAATTAACCAAACCAACCTAATTGTTAGGTGTGCAGAAGAGTAGACCAAACAACAGCAGAAAATACATTTTTCAAAAACATTCACTAACATGTCTTTTGCTGAGCCATTTAATAAATTTCAAAGAATTAAAATAATACAGAATACAAAGTTTAGATGGTTGAAGAACAAAATAGAAATAAAAATTAGAAATACAAACTGAATAAACCCACTTAGAAATTAAGCAACATATTCCAAAATAGACTGTGGGTCAAAGAAAAAAAATCATAATAGAAATTTTAAAATTATTTTAATTGAATGACATTTAAAATAGGACATTGTCAAACTCGTGGAATACAACTTAAAGCTCTGATTAGAGAGATATTTAAAAAGAAGCAAGGTTTTAAATAAATGATATAAAATTATTTCTGAATAAACTTCAAAAAGAACAGCAATAAAACCCAAAAAGACTATACAAAAGAAAATTATCAGACTAAGAGTAGACATCGATAAAACAGACATACAAGAGAAGAAAAACAACTAGGAATTGGTCCTTTGAAAAGGTATGTAACTAGATAAACTCCTAGCAAGATAAAAGGAGAAAACACAAATGAATGAAAAAGGGGAATTAACACAGATATTACAGGTAAGGAGAAGAAAAATTTAAAAGGCATTATTGAACAACTTTATGCTAATTAATTTGAAAATGTTGATAAAATGGGCTCATTCCTTGAAAAAATACATTTTACTAATGGAAGAAAAACATTTTAAGAAAATCCAAATAGTATAATTACAACTAAAAAAGATCAACTCCATAATTTAAAGCCTTCTCACATGTTCCCTTTCCCTTCCAAACCCAAATTCACCTCCCCACCCAAAAAAAAAACACAAAAAAAAACACAACAACAAATGACAGGCCCAGATGGTTTCACTTATGAAATTCTAACGAAGATTTTAAATGGAATGAATACCAATTTTATTCAAATCCTTTTTGAAAATAGAATTGGACAGTGTAACCTGTGTAACCTTGATAGCAAAACACAAAAGACATTATAAGAAGGAAAAATTACATTAAACATGTCTGGTTAACATAGAAAAAAATCCAAAATAAAACACTGGCAAATTTAATCCAGCAATGTATTAAAACATTAATAACAAACTCCAGGAAGAAATATTTAATTATCAGGCTGGGGAATCTAGGGATCTTGACTAAAAATCTCACTACAATATTATCACCTAAAAAAGCATTAAGATATTCTTTGTTAAAAATATAATTTCATTCATTTCTAAGACAAAGGGAAAGGGAGGGAGATAGAAACATCAATGATGAGAGAATCACTTATAGACTGCCTCCTGCACTCCCCCCACTGGGAATTGAGCCTACGACCTATGCAGGGGCCCTGATAGGAATGGAAGCATGATCTCCTGGTTCCTAGGTAGACACTCAACCACTGAGCCACACCAGGGAAAGGTACTCTTGATAGTATTAGGAATAATGGATGCAGAGTTGCAAAAAAAAAAAAAAAAAAAAAACATATATAATGAAAATTTTTAGATAGATGGCAAGTGTTCTATGCATTCTATCCATTCAGTTGCTCATCACTCTAGACATGAGAGATGAACAGTTACACAAAAGAGAGCCAAAAGTAAATTCTCCAATCAATCAACAGAAACAAAGACATCCCTCCACTTTCTAATACCAGCTTCTCAAACAGAGCAAGTAACATATGAGCTGTGTGTGAAATACCACATCAGTTTTCTTTCTACCTATCATCACTGCTCCAAATACTCTATTGCCTGGGACAAACTTTCCCACTAGAAGCTTCATGCTTAGAAAGATTACTACATAACTTAGAAAAACAGGTAATCATAAATTAATTATGCATTCTTTGTGATTTGTAAATTTACAGTTTAGGGCTGACAACTAAATTCCAGAAAAAAATTTCTTCTACCTTCCTGGACCAAACAAAAAATCCTTTTTAATAGGCCATGAAGTCAAATTTTAATTTTTTTAAAGTGGTATTCTTAAAATTAATGAATCTAGAAAAATGAGGATTTAAGTTAAGAGGAAAGCTGTCAATTAAGTGCTCTTTATAGTTTATAAATCCTGTCCAGTTCTGGCATCTGTCCAGTTTAAGGTTCACTACTCAAGGGGTTTCTGAACAAGTTTCGATAATTTTCCAGATGTTTTCTGCTAAATTTCAATTCTGAGAGACAAAGTGCAGGTTCAAATTACCAAATGCAAATATTCTGTAAACTAATAGCAATTTCACATTACTAAAACAAAACAAATATGAAGCATGAAAAAGTATTTTATAGAATAGCAGGCCAAGAATGTGATAATTTCTAAATTTTAAAAAGGAAGCTTACTGCATGTATACTTAATGTCCTGGCAATTAACAAGTAAGAAAGGTATCTGGGGAAAGCTAAATAAAATCAAGTAGGAGACATGAATAAATAAGCCCATATATCTTGGTACAAAAACCAACAGATTCAATAATTAATTTAATCTAGATCAGCATCACCTCATGCCTCGAATAATACTGTCTCCCCCAGTTAACTTCACTCTAGTCAGGTACATGCCCCAAATCCATTTGAAAATCTAAATCTTCCTCAAACATTTTCATGGTGTCATTCCTCAGCGACACTATAGCTCCCTATTATCTATCAACCAAGTCTAAATTAAACTCTGGTTGTTCAGAACTACTATAATTTGACCTAATTTAATCTATCCAACATTATTTCTGAAAATGAGAATGATGGATTAACTATGGCTACAAATTCTCTGCAATTCCTCCCTTCATTTCCTGAATGTAGAGTGGCCCTTTGACTAACACAGCCTAACAAAATATGGCAGAAGTGACAGTTTGCAAATTCTGAACTTTCAGTTCCTGTTCTTGCCTTTTAAAGGTAAAAAACCTAGGCTGTCCTGCTGGATAAGCCATATGGGAGGGAACTAGCTGGTGGCCCAAACTAATCACTAAACTTGGGTACAAAATCATCTGAACTGTCTTCTAATAGATATACGTCACATTTTTTAATAGACTAGAAGTAGCAATGATAATAATTTTCTAGATTCTAGATCCAGTTATTTTATTTAAGAATATATGTTATTGTTCTTTATTTTAATGTTATAGTTTAGAGTAGATCAGCCTCTCAATGATAATGTTTTTGTTATAGTCCATATGATAAAAAATTTAATATACACTAATTTAAATCATACAAAGTTTGCATTTAATGTATCAAAATTAACAAAATTCCAAAGATAATTATAAATTAAATATAAGTATATAAATTAAATGGAATAGCTTTTCTATATTAAAATTCATATGTAAAATAAGATTGGCCACTATTGAGAAATTCACTATTGAGATATTGGTATTTTATAATACCAATAAGTACCTTATTAAGATATTTAAATTTTTGCAAAAATAGCTTATAGAAATAATTAAGTATTTTTAATAGCTAAGTGAAACCCTGCACTTAAATGCAAATTACAATATTTCATCACTCTTCCTTTAGTTTTTTAGAACCTACCGGAGAGATTCAGCCATTCGCCTCAAATCTTCATTTTGCTGTTTTAAGCGTTCAAGCTTTGCCAGAATCTTGGACAGTTCTCGGCTAGAGTGATCAGGGTGGTCATTATCTCGTACCAAATGGCCACCTATGTAAAACAGCAAGGTCCCCCAGGCAAAAAGAATGAGCATAATCCAACGCCAGGAACCAGTCCATGGCCGCATTTTCAGATTTTCAACTCACTCCTCTGGCTTCCTGGAGGCTCAAAGAATCGCAAACATCTTAATTGTTTCCTATTAGTGCAAAGGTAGTAGCCTTCTGCTATTTCAACACATGATGATTCAGACAAATTAGTGTCACTGGTAGTCCTGGAGTGAACCTTTCAAAGAGGTCTTCTGGTATGAGGAGGAAGCTTTGTCCTGTGCTTCATGGACTCTCTATGCTGTGGAAAGAGTAAGATACGTATTTATTTAGGATATATAGAAATAGCATATGCTGAGATTCATAGAGTTAAAGAAAACACATTGGAGTTGACTGGCCAACAAGTTGGCAAATAACTTTAGTGCCAATAATAAGAAGTAAAAAGCAAAAGTTTTTAAGTCTGCATATTAAATCAACCATGTACATGACGGTTCTACCAGATAAGTTAATTAACTCTAAGCCTGAAAGTCCTCTAAGATCCAATATCACTTTAATTTCTTATTTATATTACTATGCAACAGGTCATATATGAAGAATAAAAGATTGTATATTTGAATAATCAATCAAACTAAACAAAATGTATTCAACCATATGATTTTAATCTTTTCATTATCTCAAAAAGAAACATGTTCTCTTTATGAGTGAATTTATTCCTACAAAATCACAACTCCTTTCTCCCTTCATCTCCCTGCTCAGCAGCCATTTTACCACTAAAGTTTGGATGTGACAGGCAAATAGTCACTTTTAGGATAAATTCTAAAAATGACATACATATTAGCTAAGCAAAGGTTATCAGGGCCATTATAAAGCTGGCAACCACGCCAAACATCACAACAAAGGTTCATATGGATTAGGCTAAATTACTCCTTCCTCAAGTTTATTTACTAATAAAAATACCAACAATTGCAACAGAAATCTAATATCTGTTAAATCTTAGTAACTATCCATCTTAAACTACAAATGAACATGCTTTCACAAGCCTGGTTATGGGTTTCATTTGTCATTTCTCCAGGGTTAGGCTTAGAATTCCCTTTGGAAACAAAGCAATTTTCTCCCCAAAGAAAAAATTTGCAAGAAAAGATATATCTGATACTACCACGGCTACATAAGAAAAGTCTTATCTCCAGGCAAACAAAAGAGAGAAAAGAAATATTTTCTATATACAAGATTATGATGGAAACTTGACCACTAATTAAACAGTTATGAAAGACTAGATGGAAAAGTTGGAGAAGAGGCTTAGAGAATTAGAGCACAGAGCTGCCATTTTTCTACTTCTGAATCTCAAATCTCAATTGATTTTAAATAACTAAATATTTAAAGAGAAGAAAATCTCTTTAAATGAGGTTCTAGAAACATCTACTTCCTTTCCATTTATTCCTTCACTATATTCCTCATTGTTACATGATCACACTAGCTAAAACAAAGAATAAAAAAGAATGATATTCATTGAGAATTGTTTGAAAACTAAGTAAAAAAGCAATAATCCAAGTGAAAACTTGCTGTTTTGTGTGTTGTTTTAATAACTATTCTTAAGTCTATGGAGAACACTCTCTTGATGGACGACTTGCTAGTCTGTCTCAAAATTCTTTCTAAAACCCTTCTCTTCTAATCAAAGGTACCCCCATCTATTCACTAAAACGTAAGAGTAAGTAAAGTCTATTCAATGTCCCAGATAAAAGATTCAGTCTACTTTTCATGTTATATAGAAAAATTGCAAATATTCAGGGCTTCCTGGTTAAAACAGATTTAAGAAATGAATCCACTCTGATGATAAGAAATGAATTTAATTAAGTTAACAAAAAAGTTAAGTATTAAAATTTTAGTTAATAATATTTGTGACAACATATCTAACATTATAAAATGCTGTCATACCATATACTTAATCTAAGCTATACCAATAAGATATTAAACTTTTAAAATCTTTCTCTTCATAGTAAAAGTTAACTTAGAGAGATAACTGTAATAAAGGAAAATAAAGAGCTTTCCAAACAAGAATCATTTAAATAATAAAAAGATCTGTTGTAACATTTTACTTAAAATTACAACCAAAAAATGATCATAAATATTCAAAGTCAGCAAAAGTATAACATAAATTGAATACAAAGGTTTACAAAAAAATAAATTTTGTTACACAAAGTACTTTAGGTTTTTATAAACCACCATCATAAAGCCAAAATATTAAATTACTATATTTCACAGCACTATTGCTATTAGATGAGTTGTAAAAAGCAAGAAATTATTGTAGGAGCAAAAATGGTCACTTTCTTAATTAATAGCATCATTTTAACTCTGTCTTTTGGAGAGAATGTTTCCCCAAACTTTATTGTTCTAGTAAAAATGGGATTAACAAAAATAAATCAAGTTAAAAACCAAGTTGTTGTCTATGCAATTTTCCTTAGCATGATTTAAAAGAGTAGTTATAAAAATTTTTCCCTATCCATAATAAATGCTTGCTTATGTATATGCTTATTGTCTGAACCATGCCTAAAAAAATATAAACTCCATGACTTTTGTCCATTTAGTTCACTGATGTATGCCAAGTACTTAGAGCAATGTTTGGTACTTAGTGGTACTAATAAATATTTTTAAATAAATAAGTAAGTAAATCAGTGAGTGGAGTTTACATAGCATATATTAGTTTGACAAATGACAAAGAATCCAAGCACATTAGCTTCAATTGCATTTTATGCCCACAAAGCAAATCTGAATGCAGACAGTGAGACAGTGTTATTTTTGTAGGGAAAACAGTTCAAAAATAAAGTTATTCATAAACTTTAGTATGTATTATTGTCAACATAAATCTTGCCAAAATACCCCTTAAATGATTAAAATACTGGCCTAAAAGGCCCTAAGGTCAGCAGTCTAATGTTACCTTTTAACTATGAGAAAATAATTTATCTTTACTTGTTTTACTTTCCTCATCTGGAAAAAAGTATGTATAGCCTTTAATATGAAAGCTACTTAATTTATTTGTGGAAGAATTTATTAGTGAAAATATCTCAAATTTATTAGTCAAAATATTTAAGCATTAACTGTATGATATAATTTCTGACTATAATTTATATACTAGTGTTGCTGAGATTCTTCTCAGAGTGAATTGTTTTCAAGTATTTATTAATTCATTCCTATTTGAGATTCATGTATTACCCTTATCTGCAGAAAATTAAATGGATTAAAATGTGTCAGGTTTCCTTCCACACATTTACTTAATTAGTGATAAAGGTAGTATGTGTTTAAGTGATTCATTTCTTTTGGTATTTATAGATGCATTGGGTTATATCTTATTAATGTCTGTAACAAAAATGTAATTTTTCAAAACAATTTCTTAAATCTGGAAGCTGCAATACATCACCACTAATTTCAGGGGCTTTAATCAAGTTATTTAAATGAAGTTAATATATATAAAGCATTTACTATAATATTTGACAATGAGGTTCAATAAAAGTAATCCTTTTTTAAATTTTTATTTATATATTTTTATTGTATCTTTTTTTAAAAAAATGTATCCTGATTTTTTAAAGCATTACAGATGTCCCCTTTGTGTCCCCATTGATTCCCTCCACCCACAACCACTGCTCCAGCCCAGGCTTTCACCTCACTATTCTTTGTGTCCAAGGGTTATACATATATGCATATACTAATAAATTCTTTGGTTAATCTCTCCACCCCCTATCCCCTTTCCTCTGAGATTCATCAGTCTGCTCCATGTTTCCATGACTCTGGATCTCTTTTGTTCATCAGTTTATTTTGTTGTTGTTTTTTGTTTTGTTTTGTTTTGTTCATTAGATTCCACATGGCCAAAAGATATGAAAAAAAAATGCTCAGTGTCACTAATCAACAACGAGGTATCATATCATACCTGTCAGAATGGCTACCAGCAATAAATCAACAAATAACAAGTGCTGGCAAGTATGTGGAGAAAAGGAAACCCTAATACATTGCTGGTGGGAATGCAGACTGATGCAGCCACTATGGAAATAGTGGAAATGGTATTATATGGAAAACAGGGTGGAGTTTCCTCAAGAAATTAAAAAGGGAACTGGCATTTGACCCTGAGATCCCACTTCTAGAAATACAAACCAGATCCTGAAACACAAACCAGAAAGTATATATCCCTATGTTCATAGCAGCATTATGTCAATAGAGGCCCAGTGCACAAAATGTGTGCATGTCGGGGGGGGGGGGGGTCCCCCTCAGCCCAGCCTGGACCCTCTCCAATCTGGAACCCCTCAGGGGATGTCCAACTGTCGGTTGTCATGAGGCCAAAACCAACAACTGGACATCCCTCTCACAATCCAAAACCCCAGAACTGGTAGCTCCTAACTGCTCACCTGCTTGCCTGCCTGATGGCCCCTGCCAGTCTGATCACCCCTAACCGCCTCTGCCTGCCAGTCTTATTGCCCCTAACTGCGCCCCCCACCACTGGCCTGGTCACCCCTAACTGCCCCCCCTCCCGTCAATCTGGTTGCCCCCAACTGCCTTCCTTTCCAACCTGGTCGCCCCTCACTGCCTCCCTCTATCAGCCTGGTCACCTCTCACTAACCCCTCTGTGGGCCTGGTCACCCCACGCAGCCTGTTGGTCAGTTGTCTGGTCGTCCCTCGCTAACTCCCCTGCCAGCCTGGTCACCTGCTATTCAGCTGTTACTGTGAGGGCGTTGTGACCAATTTGCATACTATCCTTCTATTAGTATAGCTGGCTAAGGTCTGGAAACAACCCAAATGCCCATCAGCAGATGAGTGAATAAAAAAATTTTTAAAAAGCTGTGATACATTTATACAATGGAATACTATGCAGCTATAAAGAAGATATATCTCTTGCCCTCTGTGACAGATGGAGGGACCTGGAGTATTGTGCTAAATGAAATAGCCAGTAAGAGAAAGACAAGTATCATATGATCTAATTTATTGATTTGAGAGAGAAAAAAACATCAATTTGTTGTTCCACTTATTTATGCATTCGTTGGTTTATTCTTGTATGTGCCCTGACCAGAGATCAAACCAAAAACCTTGACGATCATGACAA